GGCTGTCGAGGTGGAGGCCACACTGGGCGCAGTCAGGATGCCGCTCCATGCCCACTGTCCATCTTGGACTGTAGGACGCTTGCTCTGAGGATCCCACCCTCTCAGGAGCTAGTTAGGTAAACAAGCTCAGGCCGGGCTTCTTTCCTCTGCTTGGTGAAACTGGCCTGTTGTTCATGGACCTACACCTGAGCACAGGCAGGGGGTGATTTGGGATACCCTGGCCCTGTGCACACACATCACGGAGTCCTCACCAGCAAGGGTGACGGCAGACTGGCTCGCGTTCTTCCCTGGTGCTCATATAGCGCACTGGGGTGTAAGTGGCCCCTTAGGCCCTTAGGGGTGTAAGTGGTCGTTGCAGGGCCAGGGACTGATCCCAGTGTCTTACGACTAACATGCACCCTCTGGACTGGGCCCTCTTAAGCAGGTGGGCTACGGGGCTCCTTTTCCTGCTTCTCCTCGGCCTTTCATGATACCCCGCAGAATCAGGATCAGAACCAGAGAGGGCCTTTTATTGAAGAGTTATCTAATATCAAGCCCTCATTTCATCAAAACACAGCCCTCTGCTGAGTGCCACCTGTGGTTGGCTGGTGGCCAGTTTGGTTTTTATCTTAATGAGAGTGGAGCTGTGCTGTTGCAGTTGGGAAGGGCGTTGTGCACGTGCATCCTGGCCTGGGCTCCACCCGCCCGCCCTCTCTGGCTCTGCCTGTGCTGTGGGTGCTGCCCGTTCAGGAGAAACAGGAAAAGCCTCCTTTCCACCTGCGCTTTCCAGGGGGCAGGCAGGAAACACAGCCAAGGCTGCCCCCCAGAGCACGACACCTGGGTGGTCTGTTGGGCTCCGTTCCCAAGAGAGCATGTGAAGGAGGCTGGGTCAGCCTGCCCTTGACTTGGCAAAGGTAACACAAGTACCTTCAGATCAAGTACTATGAGTTCTGGGATCTGCATCAGGGAAACCCTGAGGTATGGGAGATGGGGTGGGGATCCAGCCCGCGGAGCCCGCCACGTGAGGATCCTCCTGGGATCCGGATGGTGGATGGAGCGAGTTCATTGCTCTACTGTCTTCACCCTCACAGATGGTTAAAATATTTCAGAATAATATGTTTTTTGAGAAATGCACGTATCCTGGTGGAACTGGGATGGGGTAGAATGTGGACGTAATGTCACACAGAGGTGGCTTTCCTCAGCTGCACGGTGGCAGCCAACAGGCCCATCCCCGCGGTTGCCCCAGGTGAACGGGCAGATCAGGGCCCCCTCTACGCTCTCCAGCATGGTGTCGGGATGGGTTCCCAGGCGGCCTGCAGGTGGTCCCCACATGAACTTCCTCTCCTAAGACGTGAGCCAGAATTATCCCGACAGCAGGAGTGCGCTGGGTGCTGGGTTCCCATCAAGGAGGAGCAGGCAGAGGAGCCTGAGGAAAGTTGAAGCAGGAGGACGTTGGAGAAGGTCTTCGGAGACCAGGCCTGGGACTGGCAGGATCAGCCTGGGTCCCCGGGTGCCTGAAGGGCTGGAGGCCAGTTAGTGGCTAGTGCTTCTGGGCTGAGGCCTCAGCCGTCCCCTCTTCTGCGAGGTTTCTCCAGTGAAGATATTTTCAGATATTTGCTGTCTGTTGGGAAATAAATTCTGTTATCTGACATTTGCAAAGAAGATGTGGGAGGGAAAGACAGAGCTCTTCCCAGGACCTTTACCAGGAGGTGCTACCTCTAGCATGCTGTGTGCCTTGCAACCCCGAGGGCCTGGGTGTATGCTGTAGGTTTGCAGGGGCTCACTCTTCACCCCAGATTCCTCTGCCTGTACCTAAGCAGCAAAGGGACATGGTGGGTGCTGGTAGACCCCGTGACCTTGGGAGGCCTGTCTCCAGCCCAGCCTTGCGGCACTGCTCAGGTGAGTAGTATGCTGCCCCGAAGCCTTGCAGATGCACAGATCCAGGCTTGGCGGACGAGCTGAGCAGGTGGCCTCAACACGGAGAACGGATGCGCCTCTGAGCTCTTCTCTGAATGGCTCTTCTTCCTTCCCAGTCCCATTGCCCTCTCCCCACACATCCCCCCACAGCACATTCTCCAACTCCAAGAGGTGCCTTTGAACGCTGAGCCAGCGTGCAGCCCCTGCAGAGAGCCAACCCTGGGAACAGTGGTGGCTTCACCAGGGGTCAGCCTTGCTGGGACTCGGAGCAACCCTCCATGACACGTGCAGAACACGACTCTCTGCTCCAGGAGTGGCCAGCCGGTGCCCTCTGGCCTCCTCTTCTGGAAGCCCCTCCTGGACAGCAGCCTGAGGAAGCGGATGAGAAGAGGGTGGTGCTGGCCTCCTGCTGCTGCCAGCAGCCCAAGCCAGGTCCCAGGCAGGCCAGGCAGACCCACGGTTCTGAAGCAGCCACCAAGGAGACAGAGCAGTGACCCAGAGGTGGAGCACGCACGTGGAGCCTGAAAGACGACTCGAGAGGGGACGCCAGCAGAACCCAGGCACAGTACAGCTCTGGAAGGAGAGTCCAGAAGGCTCCTGGAAGCAAAGGTTTTGCTGTGCATGCGTGATGCACGTGTGTGGTGTGTGCATGATGTCTGTGTGTGGTATGTGGGTGTGCACTGTGCGTGTTTTTGTGTTGTGTGTATGGTGTATGCATGGGGTATATGTGGCTTGTGTGTGGGATGCATGGAGATGTGCATTTTGTATGTGGGTGGTGTGTGATGTGTATGTGTTGTGTCTGCAGTGCGTGTTGTATTGTATGATGTGTGTTGTGCTTTGTGTGCTGTGTGTAATGTCTACGTGTGTCATGTTGTGTGGCTGTGGAAGGTGTGTGGGTTGTGTGGTGGGTGTGGGGGTATGTGGATGTGTGCACTGTGCCTGTGGTTTGTGTGGTGTGTGTTTTGGTGTATGCATTGTGAGGTGTGTGCAGTGTGTGCCTTCTGTGGATGTGGGTGTGGTATGTGTGTAGTGACAGCTGGAGTGAGATCTAGGAGACACCTGAGCCACGTGGGGACCTGGGGTCTTTGTCCTGTGTTCTCCCCTCATGTTCTGACATTTCCTCCCCCTACCGTCCCCGGCAGGAGGGCTGGGCTGGGTCCTCCTGGCATCCAGGTATGTGCTCCTGTTTCCCCAAAGCCATCAGGAATCAGCGACTATGTTCAAGAAGATGCTTTGCAGGCTTAAGAACATTGGGGTTTCTGGTAGACATTTTATTGAATAGCTTGTATGCTTAGTGAGTGACCATGAATCCCAAGATCTCACCCTGTGCTTGAGGCATCCTGGCCTCAGCTCCTGTGTGTGCAGGTGACTGAGACCTTTGGTGACTGCCTGAGTCTGTCTGTCACCGCCGTGGCTTCTCCGTGACTCTTGGTCCAGGACCCCTGTGTTCATATGGATGTGCCTACCCGAGAGCTCCTGGTCCTTGACTCTGCTGTCTGTTGCTTATTGCTTTGTGTTGAGGGTATAGAGAATTTAATTCTGTAATGGGGGTGCCCAGAACCTGGCTCAGAGCTTTCCTGTACATGATGTCATCCACCTTGGTGCAGCATTTCCAGCTGCGTCTGTGTGTATGCCAAGAGTGCAGTAGTACTCTGTCTGATTCCTCGAGGACGTGCTATACGACCTTTCTGCAAGCTGGGTGCTCCAGAAGCAGACACTGGGGTGGAATTTGGGGTGTGCGACACTTGCCAAGAACCCAAACCTAAAAGGAAGAGCAGAGGGCCCAGAGTGGGCAGCGAAAAGGGACACTGCTACTCTCCTGGCAGCGCACGAGGGACGAGCACTGCCCGACAGGGTGTCTTCAGTTGTCCTGGAAAACGGCTGACGGTGAGCTCTCCAGGGGAAAGCCCTACTGGGTCCGTGTGAATGTACTCCTGTGGGGGCCGAGGCTAGCTGCACGCCGCGGCCAGAGGCAGGAACTGGCTGACTTCAGGCTCACGGGACTCACAGCTTCGGATCCCCGGGGACGCTGTACCCTGGCTCAGCTCAGGCCCTGGGCATGGGCTGGTCTGAAAGGACAGGCCTTGGTGTAGCTCTTTCTGACAGAACTGTCCACTGGCTGCCTTCAGTGGGGCAGCGGATGCTTCTTCCTGGATGACCAGGAGCACGCACATCTCCTCCACATTCCACCTCCTGGGACGCTCGATCCACTTGTCTACGTAGCGACACTGTAGCTGATGATTCCTAAGACCCTTTTCACGTTCCCTGAACAAGGTGCACTGCTTCTGAAGATGCCGACCTAGAGCCGGAATGCTCGGGACACAGGCACGCGGGCCAGGGGGTCATGGGGTGTGGTGTGAGGCTCGGGCCTCGTGTTCCTAGAGCCACATCTTCTCCCACCAGGTGCACATCCACATCACCGCTCCGTGACAGCAGCACCACTCGGCTGTTGTGACGTCACAGGTGAGGGTGCTCACCACCTCCCTCACTGGCACCCCGCCTAAGCCCCGTGTCTCCCCAAATTCCTGCAGTGGTTTCACCAGGTCCCTGCTTCCTCTGCCCTTGTGTTCCTATGGTGTCTCCTGAGAGTGTCAGTCAGGGGTCTTGCAGTGAAGGGGGGCCACGCCCCAGCTCTTCTGCCTCACTCCTGTGACTGGGACCATTCCTGTGGACAGCCACGGGACCTGGGTGCAGAAATAAGCAAGCTTCTTGTCTCCTTGGAGCCTCTGGTCCATCAGGACACGTGGACATAGTTACGTCACGATCCTTCCACTAACTGTCGGAAGAGCGCAGAGAGCAATGACGACGTGAGGTGAAAGGTCCAGGAGACCTGGAGGAAAGGCTACTTCGTCTGAGATCTGCAGAAGGCAGCAGCGAGCTGGAGCCAGGCATGAGCTGACACTCACTGGGAATGGCAGAACCTCGAAGCCGGTTCTCACGTCTTTGACCTTGAACGTGGGAGCATCGGGCGATGCTGTCCTTGCCGTTAGATGTGGAGACCCTGGGTGATCAGGATTGCCAGGCTGCAGGGAGCCAAGTTCAGGCTCTTCAGCACAGGACTGAAGGCTCTGCTGCGCTGCTGCTTAAACCTCTGGGCCCGCCAGTCTGCTTCACAACCTGAGACGTTGAAAAGGAAATCATTAATTGAGGATTGCATTCAGAAAATCAAGCATATATCACCTCTCTACAGGGTCACTACCTACTAGACATTGTGCAGAAAAGTGCAGAATTATTTTGCTTAAATTCTACACAAACAATATAAAATAGGGTCTACTAGTCCCATTTTGCTGACAAAGAAACCGAAGAGATAACGTCTCTGCTCAAGGTCACCTGGCAGTGAGCAGCCGGCGTGGTGAGCCAGGGCTGTGACCGTGGCCTGTGGGCTGACAGCTGGGGTCACCGGGAGCACTGCCGGCTCCTAACCATGCTTCCTGGGCGCCTCGCTCTTGAAACATAGAAAGCACAATTGATTCCTTTCCTCCTGCCACCCTCTGCCCACCCCGAGGCTCAGCCGCATGCCCTGCCTCCAGAGCTTTGGGAAGAATTTCAGCTCCTGTGAGTAAATCATGGAAAGGTTACAGGTGCTCTAGGTGATGCAGGACTGTCTTTAATTATTGCAATTGCTCCCGAAAATTCTACTCTCTGTGTCCTCTTTCAGCATCACACAGACTTTCACAAGCATAAAGCCAAAGAAAAAACACAGCCAACAAAGACGAAGCCGGAGAACCCGCTTCTGAGGAATTCCTCTTGCAAGCGGCTAATTGAAACATCCCCTCGGTTGGTGCCGCTCGGTTTTGACAGCCGCTCTGCCCCTTGTCATAAAATCGATGGTCTTCTTCTTCCTCCCCTTCCTGGGCCGCCTTGCTCTGACGGGGGCCCTTCCTTCCCACTGAGTCTTCCTCGGATCTCGGGGTTAAGTGGTCTTTTCATGCCGCCCAGCCAGACAGGCACAAGACATGGAGAGGCTTTTGAGAATGAGCCATGTTAAGTGGGCTTGATGGGGGTCACGGCCACCATTACTGCTATCACCACAGTGATAAAATGGAGTGGTAATGACGGGGAAGGTACTTATCACTGTCTTCCTGAGATCACTTAAGATACTTTGGGTCTGAAGCTTTTTGCCAAAGACAAATGGAACATGCACAAGATAGACGTGGCCACCGCAGAAGGCTTGTGTGTGACCCTGTGTGGGCCTGTGTCCACCTGTGTGGCTCCAGGAAGGGAGGGTGTGGTCAGGCCAGGGCCTGTCCTGTTCTGTGAGGCAGCCACCTGTGGGCTCAGGATCGGGCGGCAGACACTGCAGGGTGGGATCGCGGGCTGCCTTTCTCAAATTGCCGACCTGCTGTTTGTTTTCCTAAACTTCTGCGGTCATTGGCGGGGATGGACCCTTCAGAACCTAACTCACAGCAGCTCAGTCAGAGGGGACCAGAACTAGCTACCCTGAGCCCGGCCTGGTTCAGTGCCATCACTAGTGTGCTGTGAGACTTGGGTGAGATACTGAACTTCTTTATGTCTCTGTTCCCCAGGGTCCCCGACTCCTCCTGGCCAGCCTGGAACTGTCTTGGATTGCACACTGCAGTACCCAGTCCTGGGAAGCACTCAGTCCTGGGCAACTCCGGGTGATGGGCGACAGTGTTCAACTGGCACACACCAGACCTGTAGACACACACACACACACACACACACACACAACTTCACGTTTTCAGAGCCATGTTAGATTCATAGCAGAATCGGGAGGAGGGCATGGAAAATCCCACCCACTGCCCACCATGGAGGCCCACCTACCTCACGTGAACCCTGGCTCAGGGGTGTGTCTATTGTAAATGACACACCTCTGGGGACACACTGTCAGGTGGTCTGGGAGTCCAGCACTCTGTGGGTTTGGACTAACATGGGCCAGCGCCTGCAGGGCTCTCATGGAGCATGCCCTCTGCCTCGGAACCTGCGCCCCAGTCCTGGCACCCACCAATGCCCTGCACTGTCTCCACGCTGGGTTCTCCCATGAGCTTCTCCCACACTGTGGGCTTCAGATTGTACAGAATGCAGCACGCTTACGGTTCTATTTTAAGTTATTTGTAGGTTTTAATGAAGCAAATCACTTTTCTGGGCTTTAATTACATCACCCATAAAATGAAGTACTTACAGCAATTTTAAAACCTATTCCAGTTCTAACGTTGTGCTATTCTGCAATCATTAATAGCTCTAAGATTTGTATTGATAAACTTTTTATAAAGTGCTGAGAATAGTGTAACAAGCCCCCTTTCCCACAAAAGCTTCACGGAGCAGCTGTGTTGAAAGCAAGGTCCCAGGAATGTGCACTCCAACGTCCTCCTGGTGAGGACACAGGCAGCACCGACCCGACCAGTGGAGACTTACCCCGTTCCTCTTCCTAGAGTCACTGTTGATATATTCACACAGACCTGTCATTCGACAAGATGACAGCATTTTAAAATTTGAAATGTAACTCACAGTTGCCAATATCCTTCACTGAAGAACAGACATTGGCCCAGAAAATGAGAGGAGTGGGTCTAGACAGAGGAGGCCTGATCCAGGGCCAGCGGCTGCAGACCTGGGTCTAGACAGAGGAGGCCCCATCCAGAGCCAAAGGCTGCAGACCTGGATCTAGACAGAGGAGGTCCCATCCAGAGCCAAAGGCTGCAGACCTGGGTCTAGACAGAGGAGGCCCCATCCAGAGCCAAAGGCTGCAGACCTGGATCTAGACAGAGGAGGTCCCATCCAGAGCCAAAGGCTGCAGACCTGGGTCTAGACAGAGGAGGCCCCATCCAGAGCCAAAGGCTGCAGACCTGGGTCTAGACAGAGGAGGCCCCATCCAGGGCCAGCGGCTGCAGACCTGGGTCTAGACAGAGGAGGCCCCATCCAGGGCCAGCGGCTGCAGACCTGGGTCTAGACAGAAGAGGCCTGATCCAAGGCCAGTGGCTGCAGATGCGGGTGTAGACAGAGGAGGCCTGATCCGGAGCCAGTGGCTGCAGACCTGGGTCTAGACAGAGGAGGCCCCATCCGGGGCCAGCGGCTGCAGACCTGGGTCTAGACAGAGGAGGCCCGATCCAGGGCTAGCAGCTGCAGACGCGGGTGTAGACAGAGGAGGCCTGGTCTAGGGCCAGCAGCTGCAGACGCGGGTATAGACAGAGGAGGCCTGGTCCAGGGCTAACAGCTGCAGACGCAGGTGTAGACAGAGGAGGCCTGATCCAGGGCCAGTGGCTGCAGACCTGGGTCTAGACAGAGGAGGCCTGGTCTAGGGCCAGTGGCTGCAGACCTGGGTCTAGACAGAGGAGGCCTGATCCGGGGCCAGCGGCTGCAGAACTGGGTCTAGACAGGGGAGGCCCCATCCAGAGCCAGCGGCTGCAGACCTGGGTCTAGACAGGTGAGGCCTGATCTGGGGCCAGCCACTGCAGACCCAGGTCCACAGCAGAGGAGATCTGATCCAGGGCCAGGGGCTTCAGATGCAGGTGTAGACAGAGGAGGCCTGGTCCAGGGCCAGTGGCTACAGACCTGGGTCTAGACAGAGGAGGCCTGGTCCAGGGCTAGCAGCTGCAGACACGGGTATAGACAGAGGAGGCCTGGTCCAGGGCTAACAGCTGCAGACGCAGGTGTAGACAGAGGAGGCCTGGTCTAGGGCCAGCAGCTGCAGACGCGGGTATAGACAGAGGAGGCCTGGTCCAGGGCTATCGGCTGCAGACGCGGGTGTAGACAGAGGAGGCCTGGTCCAGGGCCAGTGGCTGCCTGGCTGGGCCAGCGGCCTCACAGTCCAATTTCTTCAAGGGAAACCCAGAGCTTTCTGGAGTCTGAGTTGGAGCGTGGAGATGTGGTCTGCGGCCTTCACACACTAACTTCAGCAATAGTGGAAAGTAAGGTTGCAACCAGCCACACTTCAGATCAAGACACAAACCACAGGGAGCAGGGGTGAAGCCGTCCTTCACCAATCCTAAGTAGCACTTTCTTTTTTTTTTCCTTTTCTAACGAATATTTACCCTCTTCCACATCAGTACTGTGACCCGCTGCCTGCATACCTTCGTCAGCTGACTGATGCATCAACATGGATCTAGCCAATGGATGTGGCCACAAAATTCTGTGCCTCTCTGCCCTACCACTCTGTCATGTCATCCTTGGAAGAGCTGATGGCCCGGGAGTTCCATGCATGCCCTCGGCTCAGGGGTCTTCCATGCTTCCCCACAGCCTGGAAGGATTGAAGAAGGGACCGGAAGGCTCTTGGGTATGGAGGCCTGCCTGCCACTCCACACGCTGCCTCCAGTGACTGCCATGCACTTGAGAGCAGCCAGGTGGCCTTCTCACCTGGCTACCGCAGATGGCCCTTAGAAACAGCTGGTGAGCCTCCCTCTCCCTGGGTCCTGGGTGTCCTGGTTGGAGTTGACCGTGTGTGGGTGGCTTGCTCCTGGACTCGCTGTTGCTCCGCATGTCTGCTTGGTTCTGGGGCCACCTGCTGTGGTGTGTGTCTGGGGAAGTCGGAAGCAGGACTCCTCTAGTTTGTGAGTCCCAGAGGCGTGGCCAGCAGAGCATGACACCAGCAGAGCATGACACACAAGGGGAGCAAGTTCCAGAGGTCTGTTGAGAAGAGAGCACCTGGTGCCCTGTGCAGGCCAAGACCCTGGAGGGCTGATCTCCTGCACAAACACGAGGGAGGCAGGGCGGTTCTCCTCCCCTCCCTCCTTCCTTTATTCCCCACTTCCTACTCTCCAGCCTCCACTTATTTCCTGATTAGTGATTTACTAAGAATCCTGTGCAAAAGGTCCCGCGTCAAGCCCCTGGGGATGAGGGAGGCTGGAGAATGGGAGAAAATGGAGAGTTCCTGCAGGTTACTGGGGGCATTGTGAAAGCCACCGTCAGCCACCCTGGTCACTTCTTCTCCTGTTCAGACTGGATGGGCTCTGGGCTGGGGCACTTTCTGGTGCCCTCCACTCCTCAGAGAGGCCAGCACAGACATCCCCTACCCACGCGTACTTCAGTTCCCTCCACGTTGATTCCGGAGAAGATGAAGGACAGCTGTAGGGAACTCCTGCACCACCTGCTGCCCAAGAGGAGGTGTCCTCAGCTGGTCTGAGTCTAACGGGGAGGTTCCAGGGCCACCAGCGTTTTCACAGTGGCACAGCAGTGGGTATTCACCTGGCAAGGAAACCCCGTGGAGTTCACCAGGACGATGCCGCAAAATGACAAGATGAGTTTACAGGTGGCTGTGCACATTGTCAGCTGCGCTGAATGATCCAAAGTGGTCACTAGCACCCTATGCGGGAGTTCAGAGGGAGAGAATAACCACATGGGGGTGCGGCTCTCCTTTGTCTCAGTGAAGGGCGTCCCGAGGGAAGGAGAGAGGACTTTGAATGGCGCTCTGTGTGGCGCCCTGGGCCTTGAGCTTTGCTGCTGACCTTCGCTCTGGCCTGGCTCCACTCTGCAAGCTACACGTGCTGCCCTGTCTGCCTTCCACTAGGAGGGTCAGGGCAGTGTGCCGAGCACAGCTCTGGCTCCTGGACCAGGGTGGTTGGCTCCTGGCACTCTGCCCCGCCCACCGGGTCCCAGCGTCTGTGGAGAGTGGACGATGTGCCAGGCGTGGCCCCCGCCATGATGCCCCACTCTGAGCCGCGGTGAGAGATGCCCGTGAAGTGAGGCAAGGGGCCGGCAGAGGGGGAGACCAGTTTCAAGAGAAGGGGTCAGGAATGGCAACTGTGCTGGGCATGGAGAGGTGGGTGAGAGATTCTCCCTGGCAGGTGAGGGGGAAGCAAAGGACGCAGAGAGTGAGAGAGTCACCAGGAACTCTCAGGGGAGAAGGAGAAGAGGGAGCTTGGAGCAGGAGGGGCAGCTGCCTGGTCCCTGCGGGGCTGGTCCCAGGGAGAGGAGAGGTGTGGGACTGAAGGGCCAGGGCCAGGGTCCTTCCTGGTGGAGCACAGCCCACGGGGTGGAGAGGGCTAGAGGCTGACTGGCCTTTAACAGACACTGGAGGGAAGGTCAGCAGGGAGGGCAGGGACAGACTAGAGGAGGAGTGGTCTGCGGAAGCCACTGCAGCTCCAAGTCAGGAGATCAGACCTGGAGTTCTGCGCATCGCAGGGCCCTCCCCACTTACCTCCCCAACCCCCACGGCTCTCCTCTATGCCTCCGTCTCCACATGCCAACGAGACTGTGGGTCGGTGTACTCCGGGTGCCCTCCAGGTCCACCGATGCTATTGCAAATGGAGGATTTCTTTCCGTGTTAAAAGCAGAGAGCATTCCTTCCCACGTACAGTGCCTCTTCCACATCTGGGGGAGGGAAGGGGGGACGGAGCGGGAGGGAGGAAGGACTGCCTTATTTCACAATGGCCATGGAATCCGAGCTACAGAACTGAGGCTGCGGGCCCACTGCCTGGCCAGATGTGGCTTCTTCTCTCTTCCCTTTAGGATGCTCATGGCGGTCCCAGGCCTGAGAGTCCTGCACCCCGTAGAGACCCCTCTAGAACAGCACTGACCAACACATCTGGAGGAGAACCACATGAGGAGATAAAAATCCTCAGTAAAAACAAAGAAACAGGTAAAATAATTTTCACATGCTACATTTAATTCAGTTTCATCAAAGCGTCGTCATCACAACAAGTGCTTTAGGCTGCTGCAGCAAAGCCCCGTGCGCACAGTGGGTCGTTCCTTCTGGACACAGAGTTGTGGAGGCCTCTGAAACCTCCCCCACAGGCAGAAAGAGGCGCCAGTGGGACCCAGCGGAGGAGTCCCAGGAGCAGCCCCTGCCCCCGCTCCGTGGCTGCAGGCCCCCCTCCTCCTGGCCCTTCCTCCTGGCCCTGGTCTCCTCCTCCTCAGCAGCTGCTCTGTCTCCCACTCACAGAGACGCACAGGACTGTGGGGAGCACCCGTGGCCCCAGAGCATCTTCCTGTATAACACACTTCATCTGCGCACCCAGGTCAAGAGCCCATTTCCATATTCAGAGCTGGGAACACGGTATCCTCAGTGGCCACCTGTCAGACCACCACACATGCAATCAATACCCACATTTTTAATGACGCATTCTGCATTTTCCTATTGAGTCTGAAATCCAGTATGTCATAGCACATCCAAGTCACCTTGGGTGCCAAATTTTTAATGTCTTAAAATGAAATAAAGTCCTACTTTACCAATAAAATTTAATAGAAAAATAGCTTATTCTCCTACCGATTTTGGAATTTAAGTTTAAATTAAAGAAAAGGGAAGTTTGGTTCCTCAGCGGTGCCAGCTGCATTCCTGGTGTTGGTGACCTGGTGGAGCTGACTGGTAATGGCTGCTGTTTGGGGTAGTACAGATTTAGGACAGCCTCCTTTTCCCTGCTCACCCTCAAGCCAAGGAAATGCATAAGGGCACATCCACCTGCCTGGACTTCAGTACACCGCGTTCCCGGAATGACTTCCTTTCCAGCCCTAAGAGCACCTTTGTGGGTCTGCGGTCCGTGCCTTACCAATGTGCACACAGACCTAGAGACGCGGGCTGAAGAGGACGCCTGGCTCTCACGGGTGCCTTGCTCTGGAGCATCCCCAGGGCACACCGGTCCCTGTGGCTTGACCCTGGTGCTTCCCTCCCATTAAGAAATTCATGTTTGGTTCAGAAGTGACTTTGCCAAAGGTGGATTCCTGCCCTAAAGCATTACTAAACAAGACGAGGCCCTGAAGACAGTGGCATCTAGTTCTTTCCATTAAGAATTATAGCACTTAATGAAATTGAAAGAAAACTCAAATAAAATATGGTTCTGTGAATTTTAAAAATTATATGTCCCCTTCCTTTTAAATTGTAATGAATTGACACTGAATTAGTGTCTGAAATATATTTCATTGCATCTATTTTGTACTTTTGGTTAAGAGAAGAAATATTCATTTGTATTATTTTCTACTTTTGTGTGTGTGTGTGTGTGGTACTGGAGATTGAAGAGCCTTGTGCGTGCGAGGCAAGCACTCTACCAACTGAGCTGCATCCCCACCCCCCGTTTTCTACTCTTTGTAGCATTTTGGATGCATATTTTATTTATCTCTTGAATAGCCCTTCAAGTTACATAAGAAAATTACTTTATGAGTATATCTAGATCCATGATTTTAAGCACAAAATGCATGCCAGTATATATTTGTTGAGTGAAAGGAATAAAAAAATAAAAAATAGAGAAGATTGATAGCATAGATAGATAAATAAAATAATTAATAAAGTAAGTGAACTCACCTGAGTGCGCGGATGCAGCATTTGAGGTGTTAGAAGTCACGCATATTGTGTGTAGCGTGGCCTTGTCAATGTCGGAATTGTGATGACTCGGTTTTTTTCCAGGGGCTGCTCTTGACATCTCCGCCCTGCAGAGTTCCGAGGGCCCTCTTCTGTGTCAAGCAGACATTCCATCTTCTCGCTGAGCCTCCCCATCCCCTCCTCCCCCTCCTATCCCCTCCTCCTGTGGTGCTGTGGCTGGTGATATTGACAGACTAAAGGATTACTCGTTTCCCACAGCCCCACAAGGTAAATTAAAAAAAGGAAAAGTCAAAGCTATTTCTGGACCCTCTCGCACGTAGGGACTCCCAACTCAATACATCCTGGTTGCTTGGAAATGGTGCTTATTAATGAGTGGGGAAAGTACGCCAGCTCACGGGGCTTTGGGGTCACCTATGTAAGGGATAATGTGCCTCCCCAACACACGTCTGCCTTGGATTCTTGTAAGTTGTTGAGCACAAGAGATTGGGAATATGCTATTACTGTTATAGATCTTAGAAAGCAGTAAGCCATCAGAGGAGCCAGTGACAATTCCAAAACCTTTCCAGATTCTAATGTGAAATTAGTCTATTGGTCCAGAAAAGTGGCAACAGCTATTTATAGGATTGTCATATGCCCACACAAGAGCAGACTAACTATCACTCCTTTTTTTTTTCCCTAGGAAAATAAAGCCAGCAAGAAATAGAAAATAAGTAAGCATTAAGGTGGGCAGAGGTGGCTGTGAGTGCGGTGTCTGAGCTGTGCTGTTAAGTGGGAGCCGTCACGCAGCGTGGCACTCTGAGCCTTGACGTCTGATCTTTTGAATATAACACTGAACCTCTTGAAGTGGCGCAGACAGTAGGATGTTAGAGAAAGGCTGCACTGGAGCCGAAGGCAGGAGCAGGCCTGTGCAGACACTGGAGGCACTTCTCATGTAGATGACACACGAGCAGATGGATGCCCGCAAAGACCGCAGGGTAAGGGCACCTCTGCTCGCCTTCCTGAAATCACTGCACACAGCAGAATCAGGACAGCAGCCACGCCTCTTCAGCCAAGCCACAAAGCAGTCAGCACCTGGGGCTGTGACAGGGGGCATCCAGGGCCTGGGAAGGGCACCTCTACTCAAGGGGATGCCAAGAGCAGACTCCTCCCCTGAGAAACTATGGCTCTGGGCAAAATTATCCCAAGAAAGTCACACATTCTAAAACCCCAATATCTGACCTTTAACTTGTGATGTGGAGGCTTCTGAGCTCACACAGTCCACCACAGAGGGATATTTGTCTCAAAATCAGAAAGGCCATTTTGGCAGTGTGCAGGCCACTGTTAGGTGGCTATGGCCCTGAAGAGCCACTGAGATTGGGAATTAGGCTATTACTGTTACAGATCTTGGAAAGCAGTAAGCCATCATGTCTGAACCCTGGGACACAGCAAAGGGGAAAAGGGTGTGGATGGAGTGAAGGTCACTAATCAGTTGACCCAAGATGGGAAGATCATCCCTGAGGAGGCAGGAAGGCCCAGTGTGGTCCTAAGGATCCTGAAGTGGGTGAGAGGCCAGGGTCAGAATGGGAGGAAGCATCCGGAGGAGACTCAACTGGCCATTGCTGGCTGGAGATGGACAGAGCCAGGGATGTGGTGTCTGGTAGAACGACAAAGGCCAAGAAGTGGACCCCAGGGCCCCAGAGAGGCCACACCCTGCCCCATCCTGCATTAGCCCAGGGAGACCCAGGTTGGACTTCTGACGTGCAGAGCTATAAGATAATAAAGGCACATTGTTGTAACCCACTGAGCTGGTGACACTTTGGTGTAGTGGCCGTAGCAGCTGCTACGTGGTGTGGCCCGCGCTCTCCCTCGCCGTGTGGCTCTCGCGCACCTCTGCTCCCTGCAGGCTGAGCTCCTTGTCAGCCTCAGCGCCTGGCCCTGCCCTGCCCTACAGGGCCTGCGAGGCCTGGGCTCGGGCTCTGGGGGACCGGGTGGCAGACGCCATGCAGACTGCCTGGGTCTCCTCCAGCATCCCTCCAGGAACGGGCGGGCTCCGAGAGGAGGGGTCAAAAGAGCATGGTGGACCCGTGTCCTGGGGTTGGGTGGAGACGGCCAGGCACTGGGAGCAGCGGTGGAGGGAAGGGAGGGGCGGGCGGTAGACACGCTGTCTTCATCTCTGGTGTCCAAGAGTCATCGAGGTTTGAAGAGCTTCTGTGGAGCTGTGGAGCTCATCACCAGGACGAGACCAGCAGCTCTCCAACCAACCCGGTGAAGGCCAGCAGACAGGGAGCACAGCCACCACGTCCAGACCAGTGCATCCCACACGGGTGTCACTGGGACGCACTTGCTAAACATGACCTGGAGGTCAATGACAAGAGGACCTAGAAGCGGGCCTCTTGACCAAGGAGCTGACCCTGGGGATGTGTGCTCACTCAGACAGTAAAAATATGAGATGTGACAAAACTGGTCATCAGCCCTAGCCCCCGATGACAGAAACGCAGCTGGCGGAGCACTTCACTGGGTTTGGAAAGCTGCCCACGAGGGCCACCCCTGGTCCTCCCTTGCTCTGCTCACTGGTTCACTCGTGTGTCTGATGAGGAGCCTGCCTTTGGCTCACCATGGACACCCAGACACACTTCCTTGAACCACGGAAGCCACGCGGCCGCCATGCTCACCACTGTTGGGCAGTGAGCTGGACAGAGGACGGAGTGACAGGTGTGGCCTTGGAAGGAAGGAAGCAGTGTTCTGATGGAGGTAAAGTCGTACTCGAAAAGGACTCAAGAGGAAAAGTAAACTATTGGGATTCGTGTCCACTCTGCAGTGTTGGAGATTCCATGGCTGTCCACTGCCACTGGGCTGCCCTCTGCATTGGCAGATATGGTGAGCTCACTGCCCTCGTCCCCTCAGTTACAACCCATGCTTGTCTCCTGTCACCCCAGCAATACAATACCTTTATTCTGATATAAAGATAAAATAAAACCAGTTGCCATATCAGGAAGGAATGTTTAGACGTATAGTAGCTGGGTATGCTCACGTAGGGGTGTGTGTGCTTGCATGTGTGTGTTTTCTAAGGAGAAAAGTGAAGGGTTCGATTTTCTCCCATGAAAACTCCTAGGGAAATCTCCATGCAGGTTTCAGGTCAAGCCAAAGACCCTCACGCCCCTTTGTATTGCAGGATGCCTCCACCTAACGGCTCCGCCTACCCAGTCACCGGGGTTTACACAGTCCCAGAAACTGAGCACATGGAGAGAGAACCCTTTGTTATTTCTTCCCCTGCAGTGCTGGGTCGGAGGCCAAGGCCTCAGGCTTGCTAGGCCAGTGCCGACCCTGGCTTTGTCCCCAGCTCTCATTGTAGCATCTGAAATGGGGGAGGAAGGAAAGAGGGGCACAAAACCCAAATAATCCCTGAGCCAAATGAATGTGTCAAGTGTACTTGATTCATTTTGAAGTTCTCGGCGCGGCCGACAGGAACATGGAGCCACATTGGCGTGTTTAACAAGGTTTCCTTATTTGAAAAATGAAAGGAGTGAAGACAGTTTCTAAGGTCACTTCTGGCTCTAACCTGTCCCTTTTAGAGCTTGTAAATTCTTGAATCTGCAGACACTGGCCTGTTGTTCCTGCCCACCGGCTCCCCCCACCCCTGCCTGCAGCAGGGTCCTGAACACAATCTCAGCTTGGCGGAGGGGGAGAGGTGGCCACTGTGTGCCCGGCCTGGTGCTAGAGGACTTCCCTGCCTGCATTACCGCCCCGAATGTCTGTAACAGGGGTGGGGGTGGGGTTCTCTTGGAAACGGATTGCACTTAGAGACATGGCTCTTAAGATAAAAGGGGTTACACCCCATCAGCCTCGCCATGCCCTGCAGGAGGTGGTGAGGAAGGGGGCTGTGGCCAGGACCCGGACTTCAGCCAGAGCCCTGTGTCAATCACTAGGCAATCACCCATGGCTGGCGAGGACTGCTCCCAGCTTTGGGCAGCATTGCTGGTGACCATTCAGCACCGGGAAGGCAGCTGTTGGCCTGGGGTGGAAAGCCATCTTGCCCACCAAGGTAGGGAGGCCCCGAGAATGAGAAGCCTGATGTAGGAATCACTTGTTTCCTTGAAAAACTGCGAGGGAGCCCTAGCTCTCTATTTAGACGTCAGCATCAATAAAGTAGACCATTCTGCATCCCTGTAACGGCTCTCTGCGCAGCAGCAGGGCCCACCGACAGCCCTGGCCGAGGCACACTCTCTCCTGGCAGCCGCCTGGCAGGCAGCCCCAGGAACAGACATCAGCAGCAGCAGGTCTGGGCGTGGCCTCAGCCACCTGTGGATGTGCACAAGGCTGTGACCAGCTCTGCCATGCTGTCACACCCACATCAACTTCTGAACTCCCCAACACGAAGCAGAGAAGGAGGAGCCAAAGTTCTACTTCGTAGATTGTGAAATAAAGCAATTATTTGTGAAAAATCTCAATTTCATTTTAAGAAGAGATGGTAGAGTGTCATTTCTGAAATCATAGCTCCTAATCTGTGCAGGAGTTTCAGAGCTCTGCCTGCACGTCTCCGGGTGTGATGGAAGCATCATTCTGGGTCCGCTGCCATAGTTCTTTCTCTTACGTGGTGGTCTGTATGTCGCCTAGCCCTTCCCTCTATGCTGCGTCTTCCTCCCACATCTTATAAGTAATAGGAGTGTTTGTGAAAAAGCTTTGTGTGAGTTTATTTCAGATTCCCTTCCTAGAATTGGAAAAATGGCACAAAATGGGAGGAGCACTTTTTAGACCACTGATGTCTGTGCCAAATAGAATGATTAGCGTCCTGAATCCCCCATGTGCACACTCCCGCCAGCAGCATGTGCGCATCAGGGTAAGAGCTGCTCTTCAAAGATCACTTTCAGATTGGGTAGGAAGTACATGTCTGTTTTAAATTGGGGGTGTTTCATTGTCCACCATTTGTGTCCTCCTGAGTAATTCCGATTTTTCAATTGGCACGTGGTAATCTGGAGTTGACTCAATAGCTTTTTCATACACTGAGGATATTAACTGCCTTTCATTAAAAGCATAACTGGATGTTTAGAGTCTGATCTCCGTCCGGAATCATCCGGCCTGACTTCCAAGCCCAGCTCGGCCATTTAGGAGCTGTGTGACCAGGTTCTTCACCTTCCAGTTTTAGTTTCCTGAATTAGGAGGGGGACAGTCAGGCAGATCTGCCCTAAAATAAATGAAGCACCCAATACTTATATTCACTTATGGTCACATTTTTGATGGATTTGCAACAGTAACATATGGGGGCCCCTCTCAGTTGGGACCCTGCCTCCTGTGACCTCCCCCTCCTGCCTCCCTGTTCATGCACATCCCCTCGGCTGCCTTCCCTTGGACGGGCTGCACTGGAGTGGTCATGGGCCTTGTG